GACAGTGGGCTTTGGGCCACTTTTATGAGGAACAAATATCTTGCAGGCAATATCATGAGAGAAAGAATTATTGACTCCCCAACTTGGAAGAGGATATACAGGATTGACCACATCGCTAGGAAGCATTGGTCCTTAACAAACAATATTCCAGGCTGGGACGGGGGGACTTTCTCTTTAAAAAATGCTTTCAACTGCCTGCTTGAAGGTCAGACAAATCTCATTTCAGCAAAATTCATTTGGAATAAATCCCAAATTCCCAAACTCAGAACCTTCATCTGGAAATCCTTGTTCAACTGCCTTCCCTTCCCCAAAAACCTTTGCAGATTCAACTACCATCTCCCCAGCATATGCCCTTTCTGTAAAGCCCATGAAGACACTCAGGACCACTCTCTGTTAAACTGTGAGTACAGTAAAGGAATCTGGAGCTATTTTGCAAGGTTAGTTGATGGCCCTCTCCTTCAAAATCCTCTCACTCTGCGTCAGCATCTCCTAGCATGGTGGTTTACGGGAAATCAGAACAGCTTCAAAGGTTACCTCAGATTTTTCATCCCTGCAATCATCACCTGGTCTCTATGGAAGGCGAGGAACACATACATCTATGAAGGAAAGCTCTTATCTCAGGCTACCATTACACAGCAGAGCTTCAAATTGATTCAGAGCTGGTGCTGGATAAACCGGAACCACAAACGGTTTGTCTTTGATAAAGACTTCAAGGGTTGGGGATTGGACCATTTTTGGCGCACCGGGAAAAATCTAAAATCCTCATTTCTCATTTGAATGTTCTGTTTCCTCTTTCCTCTCTTTTTTGGACGTTGGTTGTTGTAACTCCTTTCCCTTCCTTTTTCTTAATAAAACTACCCCTTTCGTCAAATATATATATATTGTAAGATATACAAAAAATAATTTATGTCTTTTATGTCTTTTAATGGGAAAATAGTAGCAAATTAGCTTTTGTCAAATATAGAAAAATAATTTTAAGACAGAAAATAAGATGTTAATTTTAAGACATAAGAGTATCTCCATTCTTCAATCGAGGGTTTAAAAAATGGTCTGCTATACACACATTTGTGGCCCGATGTGTTGATGTGAATAGTGAACGAAAAGATGATTTTTGAGTAAATTTCCAAAACCGTCAATTCTAATATGATATTTTTCAAAATAGTTCTCAATATGAAATTATTGCGAACAAAGTCCTTTGTAATTAAGATGTATTTTCTAAATAATACTCTGTAAAATATGCAAATAAAATTATAGTTAAATAAAGAGTATTTTTGTATTTTCCATCATCTAAACTACGAATAAGTCTTCAAAATGGTACTTTCAAATTAAGGTGTTGGTTGCTAGAAGAACAAACCCACCACGAGTAGGCTAATAGACTCCATTTCGAGTAAACAAATTACCTAGAAATCATTAGTTTGGAAAAATTCTTACTTTTATAAAATTTTTTTTGAGAACGTACTTTAAGTCTAAATAACAGAAAATGCCAAAATACTTTTTATGTAAAGAACACTTAATAGATATTTTCGGCTAATGACCATTTAGGGAATAAGTCTAAATTACTATGGATCATACATGTAATTATTGTTTATCGAGAACTAATTTGAGAAAAATACCTAATTAGAAAGATTCGCATTGAGAATTACTCATAATTTTAGAATGAAGGGAGTAATACATCCTTTTCAAAGATTTGTGATTCGTTTCAAAAATGTCACGATCAGCAACATTGTAGTCTTTTTTCCATAAATAAAATTACTGAATTGTGAGTCGTTACATTTTTAAAAAACACAAAACTCTAACAAGCGCTTACGACTATATTGTTCAAAACATAATCTCAAATTTTAATTCTAATTTTTTAAAGGTAAGAATTTACCTCAAATAATACTACTCCCTCCGTCCTAATTCTTTTTTCCCAGTTTGACTTTTCCCCATTTTTAATTTTTGGCTTTGACTTCAAATTTTACCCTCCTTAAAAAAGGTTTTTTGAATTTTTTTTGCAATCATTCAAAATATAGAGTTAGAAGATAATTGGTGTAAATACATGGAGTATTAATGTCATTTGTCATCTTTTTTTTCTAATGGGAAAGTAGTTTTAGGACGGGAAAAAAAGAGAAGTGAGAAGAAAGTTTTAGGACGAAGGGAGTAGCTTTCATCTCGTTGCGCAGAATAGCAAAATAGACATTTTTTCAAAACAAGAAAACCATTAGGTCACCGTTTACTCCCTAACGGCGAGCCAACACTCACACATGTTAAAAAGTGTGATTATTAGACATTATATTGAAAGGTAAGATTATTTCTTTCAAACACAAAAGCCAATCTAGTTTCGAAAATTTTCTCGATTTTTACAATATACATACAGATTAGTTCTTCTCAATGTGATGATACGATATAAGACACTTGCAATCATTCATTGTTAAATTTGATTCGGTGTAGTTCTTACTCTCCCCTTCCTCCTTGCCTCCTGCACCCAATCTAGGGGGCGCAAGAGATTGAGGCTGAGGTAGGGTTCGATGGGCAATTGTTTTAGGGTTAGGGGGAGCAAAACTATTTCCCGTTCAATGTCAAAAAAGCCTTGTCTATTAATATATAAATGAAGATATTAATAGTCAAATTATCACATTAAATATCACAAAAAATCAAATTTCAAAAAAAATTATGGACAGAGATTGTAATATTTTATGATCAAGCAATTTAAAGATGTAAGAAACGAGATCATTAAATGTAATAATATTTCCGAAACAACAATTCATTATTAGAGGTACCCTTGCAATCTGATACGACAGTGCATTTTAAGCCTGTCCTGATCTGTTATTCGTCTATACTTTATTTAATCATCTTTGAAAATCACCTCAAAAAACATACTCAACCACCCTCCCTTACTTCCTAGACATTGAGTTAAGGCATATGACATGGGTTCTTTGCCGGCTAAGCCTATGAAGCAATGGTATCTCCACAAGCTAAACGTACAAGTCACGAGGCTCCATGTTAGAATTTAAAGAGCTTGATGATCGATCCGTCCAACTGCGATAACAATCAAATCCTTTCTTGAAATATCATTTGCTTTTTCTGAAGAGTCTGTAGGTTATCCATACACTTCTTCAAGGAAGACTTGGCCAGCTCATTTTTTTCCATCTCAATCACTTGCAAAAGCTCGGGGATGAATCCGGTTTCACTCAGCTGCACCTCTGGAGAAGCATAAGCTACCACATCTGTTATTTCAACAAGACACTCCGCTGCAGCTATGTGCACCTGAATTTATGCAAGAAAAAAGTGTTAAGTGTCAAAATATGTACTGTATTTATAAAAGTACTACAATGATTGTGTGCTGCCTTTAATAACACATTGTCAACATATATGCAACGGCAGTTAAATGGAGATATATTGATTGAGCTAAAGAAAGATAGCTTATTTATAGATCAAGGATCTAAATAATGAAAAGTTATAGATTTTAAATCTCTTTTATTTTTAACTAATTTTATGTTGATTTTATATGAAAATTTCTTCTACTATTACATAGTAAATTTTATAAAGACTAATTATAATAATTTTAAAAATAAAAAGAATCATTCTCTCCCTAAATATATGTGTTGAATAGAAGTAAAGATTGTTTGGAACAACCTTGAGGCATCACAATGTGATAGAAACCTGTTTGAATTAATTCAGGATCTAAATTAATTCTAAATAGAACTCTCCCTCCCTTCTCTCAGTAAGAATCTCACCGATGAAAAAGTGATAGAAGCCAAGAGGATCTCAATGTGATTGATAGTTTATTTTCCAGAATATCTCAGCAATAGAGAAGCTGGGATATTTATAACAACTCTAACAAATGGATAAGATCAAACTGACCGGATAAGATCAAGAGAATAAAGTGATAAGTTCTAACTAGCTAAGCTATCATAGGGCCTCAGGTAATAACCTGAGAGTCCTTTTATTCAATAAATAAAAAATAGTAACAGACTTAATTAACCCACACCTAATAATATAATTAAGGTGGCCTTCTACTATCAATGGTCCGGATCTTATCATTACTCCCCTCTCTGAAAGACACCTTGTGCTCATGGTGGAAGTCTGGATTGAGATTCAAAGGAGATTCTTCCTCTACTCCTAACTGCAGCTCACGACACACCATTGAACTTAATCTACTGCTTTGGTCAACTTTCGAGATGCCTTGTAATTTATATCGCTTCCCGTCAACCCAAAAAATCAGAAACATTTCATTCCAGTTTGCTTGAATGGTATTCAGAGAGGCTAACCATTTGATTTCAAGGACCATGCCAGAAGGAACTAGTGGGAATGGGTAAAAATATTGTGTAAGAGTCAAACCTGGAAGCTTAACTGAAATGGACTTGCAAATCTGATCATATTGAATAATAAAACTGTCTCCTACCTGTACCCCAAATGTCTGAACAGAGGAAACAGGTAGCTTAAGTTGCTCCACAAGTTTTTCAGAGATGAAGTTGTGTGTTGAACCACTATCAATTAACAAAAGAACTTCATGTCCATGTAATTTTCCACTTAATTTCATTGTGGCGGACGTTGGCGTTCCCAGAATTGCATTAAAGGACGCTTCCTCCTCTTTTGCCTCCCCATCAATGGGAACATGCTTGGGATTCATTGGGTTACCTTCCTCATCAACTTCCATCAAGGAGAAGGTAGTGGATTAAGTCGAACAACAGTGACCCGGCCTAAAGGGATCGCCACACCGATAGCAAAGTTCTTATCCCTGCGTTGCTGCTTCATCGACTCGTCCCTACTAAATCTTGTAACGGGCAAGGCTGGTGTTGAGCTTCAAGATCCTGAGAGTGCAAGTGGCTGGGGCGAGTGAGATTGGGACAAGTTTTTAAACTCTGGGTTTGGGTCAATGGTAGAACCGGAACCAGCACCCCAACCTGACCTGATCCCATAGAACTTGTCTTGAAATGCACAGGTGCATTCCGTTTCTCAAACTCAAGGGCTAGACTAGAAGCCCTGAACACAGATTTGGGTTTGTGGATTTTGACCTCCGACCTCAAATCCTCTCTCAAACCAGCAATAAAGACACCCAAGAGACAATGGTCAGGCCAGTTTTGGACTCGAGCAACCCTTCTCGCCCACTCTTGACGATAGTCCTGTACGGAGCCAGTTTGTTTGATTAAGACAAAGTGTTCGTCTGGGTTCAAGTATTCTGGCGGTTCATAATGCTCCTCAATGATTTTGATGAATTCCTCCCAGTACAAGAGCGTCCTTTCAGCACTAATCCAGGAGAACAAGTCGAGAGCGTCACCTTCCGGGTGCATGGCAGCTATCTCAACCTTATCTTCTTCTGATGTTCCATAGTAACGAAAGTACTTTTCAGCCTTCAACACCCAGCCCCGTGGATCTCCGCCGCTGAATTTAGGGAACTCAACTTTGGATCTGGGAAACCGGCGGTGGTGATCGTTTTCATCGCCAGAATCATCCGTATACTGCCTCATCTTTGCCTTCCCAGAATTACTTCTAGTCTGCACTTTTAGGGCAGTCACTTCTGCCTTAAGGTCATCTAACACAGAAAGCTTGGCAGCGATTTGTGCTAGAGTGTCGTTCTGGGGAGTAACTTCGTGTGCTGATTGCTCGCTGGATCCACCTTCCTCACCGTGGGCAGCGTTTGAACGGGTAATCACCATCGGGATCGAGTAACGAGCGCTCTGATACCAATTGATAGAAACCTGTTTGAATTAATTCAGGATCTAAATTAATTCTAAATATAACTCTCCCTCCCTTCTCTCAGTAAGAACCTCACCGATGAAAAAGTGATAGAAGCCAAGAGGATCTCAATGTGATTGATAGTTTATTTTCCAGGATATCTCAGCAATAGAGAAGCTGGGATATTTATAACTCTAACAAATGGATAAGATCAAACTGATCGGATAAGATCAAGAGAATAAAGTGATAACTAGCTAAGCTATCCTAGGGCCTCAGGAATCCTAATAACCTTTTATTCAATAAATAAAAAATAGTAACAAACTTAATTAACCCACACCTAATAATATAATTAAGGTGGCCTTCTACTATCACTGATCCGGATCTTATCACAATGTCATAATGATGTAATCTTTGTGATGTAAGTAGCTTGACTTATTAGTATTAGAAGTATTAGCCCTATATATACTTTGTAGTCCGTACCAACTCTTACTTTTCATAAAGACATACTGCCGGAAACCGAACATCCAGAGCTTTGATTCATGACACGGAAAAACAATCATTGTTTCCCTTGATTTGACCTGATCCATGCATCCGGCATTGTCACTACCACCACTGGTATATTCCTAACCCCCAACGGCATTACACAAAACTTTCTGACACCACCTTGTTGCTCATGTGCCGCCCACACAGGTTATTAACAAAACTAGCTCGTCATGACCCACGGCCAAAAACCGAACATCCAGAGCTTTGATTCGTGCCACGAACAAACAATCATTGTTTGATTCGATCCGACCTTATCCATGCATCTGGCATTGTCACTACCACAACTATTGTATTCCAACCCCCCCCCCCATGACATTACACAAAATTTTCTGACACCAACTTGTTTTCTGCCGCACCCACAGGTTTTTAGCAAAACTAGCTCATGGATGGTAATCCCAATCCTCTTTCCAGCATGCAGCCCCAAATTCATAGTTTGTAAGGCGGCAAGGCGAGGAAAGGCGCCAATGTACCTTCATATCGCCTAGGTGACACACACACACACACACACACACACATATATATGTATATGTATATATATATATGTGTGTGTGTGTGTGTGTGTGTGTGTATACATATATATATATACATATATACATACATACATACATACATACATATATATATATATATATATATATATATATATATATATATATATATATATAGACACACACACACATATAGGTCTTATACATTTAAAGGAAGCCTGATCGAGACCGAGAGAGAGAAGATAAGATTAAGTCAAATCTCTTTAAACATTTTAAATTAGGCTTTCAAAATAATTGGGCTGTACTAAAAAAAAGGGCTGCACTAAAAAAAGGGTTTTTCAAAAGTTTAAAGTGGCCTGTGGTGTCAAGGCGAGGTAAGGTGAGTTAAGCCGGGGTAAGGCGAGGCCTAGGCGAGCGCCTGATCGCCTTAAGGTTTTCTAGGCGAGGCGAGCATAAGAGGCGTCCAAGTGACAGTGCCTTATCGCCTTGGCGACGCCTTACAAAATATGCCCAAAATTTACACTCAATTACTCTCCACAGAAAACTGGAAGGAAAACTAAATTACCTCAGGATCACAAGGCCACAAATTTCATTCAAAATAAGTGGGCTAGACTAATTTTTTAATAATCTGTGTGATGGTCATTGGGGTGCTGCTTTTAGAGTCCTGAGGTACATCAAGAACGCCGAGGACTGTATTTACAAAAAATGGGGGCCACAACTTTTTATGATAACCAAAAGAAAAATGGGGGCAATATTGATAGTGGAATATTATGATGCTAATTGGGTTGGACTGTCAAATTGAAAGATGATCTACTTTTTCATAATCTATTGATTAGTGGGAAGAGTCCATTGCCAATGGAGCTAAAATAGTTGTTATTGGTAATGTTTTAGATTCCAGTGGATAATGTACTAATCAAAATGGCACATTACACTTTTTTAGCTTTTTTACTTTCTATGAAGTTTTCAGTGGTAAATGCAGCAATGCATCAGAAGTCTAACAGAAGCAGTGTCTATGCTTTTTAGAGGGTAAGATCGCGTACATGCTGAGTCCCAAAACCCCAACAATGTTGCTATTGTACTGGATTTTCTGTTGTTGGTAAAAATTTAATCTCTTGGAAAAATAACAGGATGTGGTTAAGAGATCAAGCGCCGAGACAAAAAGAACATCATGCAATCGCCCTTATTTAACGTCAGATCCTAGGGTTGAAACGCTTCTTTCAAGGACAGTGGTAAGGTTATGAATCGTTTTAAAGTTTGTTAGGAATAGCCTAGAACTCCTAGAAGTATGACAGAATCCTAATGATGGCATCTTTGGATGTCACTAGCTTGACATAGTACTAGTCGTTCATACACATTGTACATTTTTTAATTTTTCACAAGGAATTATTCATTCCCTACATATTTGACAAACATTTTCATCTTTTAAATCCTCCAAGAATGATGAATAACCTATATTTCAAATTGTGAATTAAAATTCAATGCAAACTAGAATAAACAGTTCTTTTTTTGGACTTCGGAGCAAATATTAAGAAGAAAATTTTGCATCCGATTCCCAACCAAAAAAAGAAGAAGTTAATTGGACAAAAGACCATCCATCATCAACTTAATCCCAATTCCCAACCATGGAGATCTATGATTTTGTATCGTGGGGGCAATTATTCTCTCCAATTTTGGGGTAGTGCATTGGAAGTTATCCATTAGAAAAATAGATTAAAATACTTGCATTTATAGTGATGGAACTTTAATTCCACTGAATATATTTCTCACAATCTCTCTCTCAAGAATTACAGAAAATTCAATGAATTAAGAGACAAGAATATTAGACTCAAGACTTGTATGAAAGGACTTGCTCTATTCGAATCCCTTGGGGGGTATTAATAGAATTATAGCTTCCTATTAGACTTCTCTTAGGGAACTTATGTAAACCTTTCGCGAAGTAATTAACCCTAGCTACACGGCTCCAGCCCATTAAGCCCTCCTCACAGCCCAGGCGGGTTTAACCCGCCGATCAGTTCATGGCTTGCCTCTAGTCACTGGGTCGAATAATGCGGATAAATATATTGGGCTAATTACATTCATAATTACATCTCAGCCCAATACACCCATCATATAGTATATTGACCCAAAATCAGCTCCCCTATAGGCTCACTATTGTGTTATAGTGGCATAAAATTTATACNAGCAACACGTACAAAGTCTTATCCCTGTAAAAACAAAGTGGGTGTTCCCGTTAGAACCTAGATGCATTGCTGCATTCACTACCTAAAACATCACATAATGTAAGAAGCACGGGAAGTTTAATGTTGCATTTTGATTTAATCAATTATGTGCCTGAAACTAAAACTCTCAAGAATGATATTTTCAGCTCCATTGGCAATGTATGGATTGAGTTATTGAAAATGACAAATTTAGTGTAAATTAATAGTCTAAAACTACTAGGCAAGGCCATGAAGATACAAAATGAAAATATCCTAATGTGATCAAATAAAAAACAGCAAAGATAACATACCTGGGCTATTTTTATAGTACGTATACAATTAAGCACTTTTGATGATGTCTCATTGAACAGCTGATATTTAACAGAAGAGCAACTTAGAACACAAGATGGCAGCCATTTTAGTTTTCAGTGTTAAGAAAAAAACATGAGGTCTACATTACCTCATGAACAAAAGATCTAATACTTTTTGGAAGAGAAGAATCTTTAGCACCAGTAATCTGTTCGTGAATTTTTGAGCATAGTTCTGTAACTGATGTGAAAACTGCAAGTTTAACTGTCCAAAACAAAACATTATTGCTAGAGAACAGAATGACATATGTGAGAAGAGAATAGAAGAGTGTGATATGAGAGTTACCAATCCATGGAATACTAGCAGTAAGTGAGACTAAGAAAACCTTGAACAAGTTCTTCCTATGTTGGATGATGTCATCCAACTGTGCTACATGTATGGAAGCAGTAATGCAGTTCACTATTTTTTCATGTCCAGCGGAGAAATTTTCCTCCTCACCTTCAAAATAATAGCAACAATAATAATAATAATTAGTGATCAAACAAACAAGTTACCTAAACAAAACATTCATATCAGATTAGAAAAGATCATAATCGCAAGTGAGCAAACCCCTAATGACAAGCCTAACACGCATACTTCTATGGTTGATAAACAACTTCATACGCAAAATTCCATATGAAGTAGCTAGGAAGATACCTGCAGCCTATTTGATCAATACATGTACTGGAAGACACATTTTCTTAAAGCAGGAGTTGAAAATTCACCTTAATGGCTGAAGTGAATACCTGTTTTAACATCACTACTTGAAGTGGAGCAGCACATTTCACACAACATTGGGAAAACCTTGCTGAAGAAGTCTGGATTATCAAAGGCTTTAATAACCTAACAATATTGTCATGGTTTAAAGGTGTCAATATGAAAAACAGAATGAAAAATTCCAATGAAAAATTATTACTAATAAACATCAAGCAAGAAACCCATATTAAGTTACTCCATCCGTCCAGATATTTACTTCTCACTTACCTTTTTGGACCGTCCGAAGATTTTCTTCTCATTTCCTTATTTGGCGAATTATTTAATGTAAAATATCTCATTTACCCCTTCCAATATCTTACCTACCATCCCCATTACTCTCTTCTAAACCTAGAATTATCCACAGATGCCAACTGCCACATTTCATCATCCTCTTCTTCCTTCCATTCTTCTTCTTCCCCTTGGATTCGTCTTCTTCTTCCTTTAGATTTGTAGATCTCCACTACCGCCACCATGTTCTTCTTCCTTCCTTCAATCCTTCGTCTCCCTTCAACATTGAAGGCTTCGGGACTAGATGGGCAGCATCTCGAAGCAAGAAAATCCTTGCATACATCTCTAGGAATGCAATGCCTTGTGGCAGGAGCAAGAGCAGAGGCGGGGTTATGGTCACCGTACTTGTGGATGTCGAGTGCACGCGAAACATAGTGACTAGAATTGTGCATGTTGCAGTCATTACTCATCAGACTCTAGCGGAGGCAGGTCGTGGTCACCGTGCTTGTGGATGTCGCAGTAGTGTGAGCAGAGGTGGAGGAAGGCATGGTGGGAAGGTGCCTGGGGTGCGGCTGCACCATTAATTACTGTCTTTTTA